TTACCATGACACCGAGTGCGACATGTGTCGCCATAGTATCCGATTTGTTAGTTGAAGTAGACTGTACGAGCGAACAATATTTCATTTGTGAACAGGATACAGGTGAGATGTCGTGTTGCATCAACTGTTTTAAACGGCATTTAAAATTCGAAATATCGAATTGCGCCACCTACGGCAAAAATGACAACTTACATGAGCATTGTTACTTATCAGTTATACGGTAAATTACGAATGGATATGAAATTCATTCCCATCAAGGAAATGAATAAAATTTAAAATAAACAACGCCACGGCAGCAATTTCAGAAAATAAATAACTGAAACACACCTTACTTTCTACTGTGACTTATGTTACGTCATGACATTTGAAATTTAAAGGGCAGTTGTCAACGCGCCGTGCATGTGTGACATTTATGTCGATAAACATTGATTCTCCCACAATCAAAGGCGTTTTAATATTGAAATCATGAGTGCGAGTTTAGCCATGGGCGACACTTGCACTAAATTACGCCAGTGACTTCTTCGATACCTTCCAATCACCTACAAAATGATCTGGTCAAAGCTTGGTAACTAGCGCATGCGTGGCACGACGACCAGCGCCCGCTAAAATGTCATTTGTTTTTTGCTTGCTTGAATGCTTGTTGATGGTTAGCTAAACTATGGATACGTGCAATTGCCGTATAGTTGAATATCAATCCATGTTCACGTTGCCATTTGTAATATACGTGTATTTCTTTAACAGAACGTCCCCCGGTCGTTCACTCATCGACGACGTTACAGTGGGTTGACCAGACGATTGAACACGTGTGTCAGTGTTACCACGACGCGTCTCTGTTTAACTGTCCATGTTGCGAGCAAGGCGGCTGCCAGTGTGTCAACGACGAGCATAACACCTGTGTTAGATGCGGCAATCGTCGGTCCTGTGCAGTAGACGGTAAGACGGGTTCACTGTTCACAATGTTCACGGACTAGGTATTACTGTAAACAAAACCAGACAAATGAAATAAATAAATAAAAGGCACAATGATGAGTACTCTCCGGTTCATTACTTTTGTATTTATTACAATATCCACATTTCAGAATACAGGGACTACGACCACGTTCTAAATATGTTTGCTGGATCCATGATTACATGTGGAACGTCACTGATAAGGTAATGACTTGTATTCATTCTACAAAATTTAGCGTGTACGAATATAATTTGAAACATTCCTGTTTTCATCTTTTCCTACCTTCCAGAGAAAATTAATTAGCATATTTTTGTTGCAAATCTCCTATAGTATTCACGACGACATATTTATTTAGTCTAAACTTTGCAGTTCGCCTCCGTCGAGTGTTATTTAATATCATTTTAAACGTGTCATTCGTATACGGGTTAGAATGTGTTTACGGCAAGTAATACTGTCTAATGCAGTGTACGTGTCATGAGACTTTGGCCATTTTTAATTCTATGAGAGGTTCAAAGTTATTTTTATATATAGTGAAAACCTCAGATAACAATAAAGTAATGTGTTCATTGTTATCTGAGTGTAAGTATTTATTCAACTTATGTTTCTGTCATGTGATCTATATTAAAAGTACTTTCGATCGTTTCCACTGGTGAGAAAAAAACCCGCTGTGATGATAATATGGTAATATGTATCAAGTTCAGTAGCCAAAGTAAATATTTGAGTTATTAGCAATAGTATTGCCATAATCGGCCAATGCCAATAAGCTGGTTGTTTATTTAATTGTAATTGCAGCAAAGAGGGCAGAGGTCAACACACCTGCTTTCTCGGCAGCCAAACAGAATCGTCTCACCGTTGGTCAGGTTAGTTTTCATTTTCACGATAATTTGATAGTAACTACTTCACCTAACGATGCATTCGTTTGCATATATGTGTAGTTGCATGCACAATCGCATCACGTCTCTGAAATATTCTGGAATTTTTTAGGACTTATGCTTCAGAGTACCCGGTGTCGGTGGGCTAAATTGTGTTGCAATTTGTATCCAACCTAAACATTCTTATGCATATTAGCAAGACTAAAATATTCATGCAGTTTTTAAATAAGCTATTTAATTTAATTGTCTTGTAATATGGCTAAACAGGCTTTTTTGAATTATTATACTACTATACACAATAACACAGTTGTCATTTAACAGGATTTGGTAGTGGTACAGCGAATGTAATCAGCAGTGACGTCACTCAGTCCCTTATATATGGAATCCACTCAAGCAGACAGGCCTATACCATATCAAATGTCCAATCACCAAGAAAGACATATTCCATACCTCTTTCTGATTGGATGGCAGGGAAGGATTCAGCGACAACGACTGTTGGCTATTCAACTGAAAATGTTATGACGTCATGTTGCGAACACGAGGTCTAAAGGTTGCGAACATTGATAAGCATAATATTGAATATTATCTGTTCAGACATAAAATTAACATTTGGCCTGGTAGCAAACTGCCACATGTCGTGGAAAAAGTGTACCTTACTTGACAGAGCAAGGACCGTTTGATAAATATACCGCCAACCTGTTAACAAAAGAGTTATATTCGCTGGTTTATATACGAATGCGCTAGTGTACACTATAGTTATTTGGTCCACGGCACGATAAACTTGACGACGTCATTTCTACATGTCACACATATGGTATAGCTTTCGAGTCGTTCTGCTATACAGACGAGTCGCTTACAATGTAGGAGACTAAAATAAAACTCATGTCGAAACAAACATTTTGGCAATACACATTTCGTCAATAGTTTTTACAGTAAGGCCAAACTTTATACAATGTGTTGAAAATGTTGTGTGTAAAATGAAATAACAATTTTGTATCAAATATTTAATCGTAGTTTATCTTTCGGAAAAATTGTGTCTGCTGCATACTCATCGGTGATGTACAATATACATTGTATACGATTCTGCAAATAAATATTGTCTTAATTTTTTTTTTTAGATTGAGGTATGACCTTTTCTTTTGTTATAAATTGTGATCAACTGGGCACTGTCACAAAATGACACTTAGTAAATGATAAGTGCACACAATTTAGAACTAATGTTATAGAAATAAAACAAAATGAGTCCATCATATGTATTCACACTAAGTCAGATTGACACAGATGCAATAATGTCTTGTAAAGCCACATAGCTATCTGTTGGCAATTGGGAAACGTATCACCAAATTATCGATTAGTAGCAACTGTTAAAGTTATGATTGTAATACGGGGTGCGATAGTATAGTCACAAATACATGTCCATTGTTATGTATGTCCAGTAAGGGTTATTCCACTTTAGAATAACCAACTATGATTAATTACATTAAAATTCAATAAAATTAACAAGTCTTAAGATAGATATATATATAGTGTAACTATTACAGCCTTACCCGTTGAGAATCTAGACATTAAATAACGAATGAGAAATCAGGCGGTACAAATTAGAAGATATGAGATAAGTAAATTGAGGCATTTGTATTAATACGCGTAATATAATAGTGGGTAAACCATTAATACTAGACGTGCCTTCAATCACACCAAAATGCACAGGAGTTCCTTAAATATTGATTGATTTCCACTCTTCCTCATGTGACCTATTGTTCTGACAGAGAATTATTTTCTGTAACTTCACAATTGGTTATTTGTCTCTATGTAGATTTGTTATCAGCCACAGTTTTCGTAATATGTAGATTAGTAATCGCATCAGTTTGTTTTATATGTATATTAGTGATAACCAGGTTTTCGGTATGTGCACAGGTAGATTAGTAATTTACACTTGTCACACTTGTCAGCGTTTGTTTATATGTTAATAAATATATTTTGTTTAAAATAGTACAGAATTATATTGAAGAAAAATTTGGCAAGGAAATTACTGCCCCGAATTTTAGAAGAAAAATTATTCATACTGCATAATGAAAATAATCTATCGGGTCACTGCACTATGTGAATAACAGTTCGGGGAGTAATTATACAAAAAATATGGGTTACATGAGCAGCTGTATAAAAGCCGAAATTTTCACACATATTTTGAAAATTATTCATACTAATCACACCAAAATTTAACTTGGTTGACATTTTATAGTGATTGGTGAGATTCTATCAATATATCCAATATATCTTAAATATATACATGCATGATGCGAGATCCAAAAGTGCCTGATAATATATTCAAGTTTTGATTATATAACAACATTTGGACCAAAACTCGTCATCAGTTTATTTTCACATAAAAAGAAAGACCTATTTTAATATTACTTTTAACATAATATTACCATACATGAAACGACATCTGTTCTAATCTCAGGTCGTTACTAAAATTAAAAAAAAAGATTTATCAACGCTGTGAATATTCGACACTTAGCCGTTTACAACTATGAGATTTACCGTTTTATATTAAAACATCTATGATTGTTTTACTTAATAACTTAATACAAAAAAATCATATATATAATATATATGTAACTGTTTGATATATGCTAATATTGTGACATGAATACAACACAACAGACCTGATTTTCATGGAGCCTGACAAAATAAATGCTTGAAGCAGTTGTAGAGAACATTTTATTCTTATATCTTATTAAGACCTGTGCAATGTTCCACGTGCTAATACTTCATAATGTATATATTAATTTAAGTAAAATAAGGAATATGTAATATCAGGTTAGAACTCTGGTTTAAAGCAATTGAAGAAATATAAGTGTCATTTCTATTAGTTTTTTTTTTTATTTGTAAACATCGGAAGTACGTTAGCTACGTTATCTCATGCATTATTAATAATTTTCAGCTTACAGTCTGAATTGTATTTCGACTGAATAATAGAACAATGTCACAGTATAGATTTAAGGTAATTTGTGAAGAGCGACACTCGCTGTTCTGCGTGAAGTTTGGTGAAGTAATCTCTAATCTGTTAAGAGCACACGCTTTAGTTTAGTTACAATTGTAACGCAATTGTTTCTGGCGTTTTCTTTATAAATTACCAAAGTGGCCGAATGTTTTAAGACCAAATTGACTCCTTTTTTTTAGTATTCTTCTTCTTCTGACTTGTCATCGAATCGCTGTAGTTGCACCGACTGTGATGGCTTCATACATCGTGATACCTGCAGGACACTGTAAGATAAAATACCAAATGTAAACATTAATGAAGAATTGAATTGCCGATACATAATACAGAAACAAATTGTTGGTATTCAAGTGAGATATAGAATGCACTGTACATGATTTAGACATTGATGCATGAATGATCATTCATCTATACACCCAAATGTCTTACCAGGGGAATAAGAGTATATATTACAATTAAATAGTTGAATCTTAGTTCCGTACCTGACAAGAACTATTGCAAACATCGTGTTGACGGCACATACAATAAACACTGCGTTAGCTTGGGTATCCAGTGTGGCTGAATAGACGTTGTTGTATATAAGTGGCGATATGCAATCCCCAAAACCTTGGATACATCCTAGTAGGGTGAATAGAACACCTACAAACACCAGACAGAGTACGTAATGAAAAAATATGAATTGTCAAAAATGTATAATTATATATAAATACATATCATTGAGAATTATTTATACTGTGCGTGCGTCGCTGTGCACAATATATCGCGTGTACAGCGATTATTTCCATTCCAGTAGGTTAAACCCATACATCTCAGTCCTTGTATGTAATGGTATGTATTCCCATTTGCATCATCTGTTCTATGGCTCTACTACACGTCCTCCTTGCGAACTGAACGCGAATGACTGTCAGTGTAGACAATGGATTACCTTGTTTGTCCGATGCAAACAACTTGGACATATGACCTCGAATAGCGGGCAGTGGCAGAGAGGTTAGGAATCCGACAACAGCAGCTACGAAAAATCACAATGTTAAATAGTAGTGGCAACAAACAAACGACTTCATCATCAAATATTTAAAGCGATATAGCAGCTTTCACGCGTTATGTCCGTTGTGTAGTTAGACACAAGCTTTTGTGCTTTCGAATGAAAAATATAGTTAAGATATTTGATATATGTACTGTGCATGTATATCAAAGATTCGCGATCGTTATGGATATTTTCCATCGATGATTTTATAAATTAAAATGATACTAACCACAAAACACCATGGCCTTGTTTGTGGCAAAGATCAGAATCACGAAGTAACCAAAATGAGATGTGAATCCTGTAATTGCCATGCCGAGATCTTTTAAACAAAATGATATCAGCTTACCAGCTCCAAGTAAACCTTGATCGATAAATAAAAAACAAGTTATCATAATATTGTATTCAAAGCTAAAGATGGAGTTATAAAATTTAGTTATTTGACCTATAAAAAGATGGATGTTAGAAACTCGTTGTTATAAAAGTTTAAATTAAAACATATTTATACTATTGTGTAAACTAATCTCATTGTTAATGCCTTTTAATGAATCACGCGTCTCGTCGACTTACCTATTGCTCGGAAGATGTACGAAACGGCTTGAAAATAACCGATGTTAATTGACGTGAAGCAAAACGGTGTACTGAGAAGGTAGAGCATTATGATGCTATTGATTGATGCTTCAACGAACATTAGGAACGCGACGACTGACAATACAGAGAGCTGAAAACAGGTGTATCTCGAACTTCGTGTAAATAGATGTATCACATCCAAGCATTGCGTCTTTACACTCCATGATGTCTCGCTCTGTGTCGGAGATGTATCCTTCACCCAGATAACAATGTACAGCACGCAGCAAACCAACAGCGCGTAGCCCAGCCAGACAGGAGGCATCAAACCGCTTGACTGTATCCAATAACCGGTGCTGAGCTGCGAAATACTGCCTCCGATGAAAATGCACGCTTCTAAAATAACCAAGCGGTAGGTTCTATTCGCACGAGATGTTATGTCGGCCATATAGGCAAAACTGATGGCCAACGCCGTGTACGTATTTCCGGTCAATCCAGCTACTATTTCTGTGATGAAAAAATATTGGAGCGGCAGCTTAAGATACATGAAGACAAAATTTAAGAACATGTAAAACGTATACCCGGCTGTCGGTATTAGAAGTGGCAGCTTTCTACCTCCACCTCGCTCGCTGTACGATCCAAGAAACGTTCCGGAGAACAGCGACAACGCAGTGGAAATTATCTGAAAATATAGCAACCATTGAGATGCCTCAGAGGTGACTGTCAAGCCAAGGATGTAATGTGGGTCGGTCGTGTTTACCGTGCAGTTATCGTTGTTATCCGATGTAAAATCGTACGAGGCGGCCACTGTCTTTTTTACGAACTGAACGCGAATGGCTGTCAGGGTGGAATGGGCGAACATGATGCAAAACACAACCGGCTTCATGGTTACAATGCCTCGTAATTTCAACACCAGAAGCTTCATCTTGCGTAATTTATGGCTGGTTTACTTAGTTCGTAAGAAGACGTATTGGCGATTAGGTTAGCGTTGTTGTGTCCACCTTGCGATCTTGTTTGCTTTCCACGTGACTTTGAATCACAGCCTATCGCTTTAACCAGGGTACATGGTTCGGTCAGAATAAGATTTGTTATTACCAGTTAATAATTGGTTAATAATATCAGTAAATATGCTGTGCGTACATGAACGTAGTACAATTATTGTGTTCAACTCGCATCGATGACTGTAGGGTCGACTGTACATTTATTCCATGCTACCTACTTGTATGTTTAGTTTGGGGGAGCAGCGTAATATTAAATGAAGACGATAACAACTGCCGATCCCGTGTGAGTTCCTTGTCATCAATGTACACGTTAATATTCAATGGTGCACTACATTAGCGATAGAAGTGACAGGATTGAGGGAATAACTGCTTTGGTGTTAAGTGTCATTAAGTATCAGTGCAACTGATATTGCTTGCCAGATACACCGAGAATCTGTTTTTACAGTTTTTTTTTTTTTTCGAAATAACGATTAAATCACAAGCAATGATAATAGCGTACATTTGAGGATAGTGTGATAGCGCCCTCAAATGGACTAATTATCAGTCACTTTGTTTATTGGTCCCGGGTGCAAATCTGTCAAATCAGTTTCAGCCAGCCAGGCATACTATTCGAAGCAGAACTAAAAATACCTCCATGCTCATAGTATGCACTATCATTATATCTGATAGTTATACTACCCCTACGAGTAGATTAACGGGAAATAGCGGCTCCTTTTGGAGCCTCGGTCTGGCAAAAGTCCGAGGCGCGCATTTCCCGTTAATCTACGAGGGGGGGGGGGGGTAGTATAACGAAGTTATACTGCGAATTTGACGAGTTTTGCACGGCCTATTTTAAATCCTGTGGTCATGGCGGATGTTTACAGCGCTAATGTGTAAATCGCAATTCTAAACCAGGTGTAGTCAACCGCAATTATCAGCCGTGCTCATTGGCTATAACAGATGTGTTGAAAAGCTCTAGCCAATCCGCATTTACTCAGCAGTTTGTTTTGTTTAACAATAGAATCCACCAACAGTGGACTTTATTGTATTACCATAACCAACACTGATTGGACCACGTAGAATTGCATATAAAACATTCGATCACGTGAATTTGGTGCTTATTTGTGAGAACAGTGCAGCACGTTGTTGGGTGAACTCCGGAGATCCGCCAGAATCATGTCCGCTCAAGAATTTGCTGCTCCGGAAATTGACTGGGATTTGGAAAACTGGTTGTCCCAAATTGATGTGGACGACGCCGAGGACTTTAAACTGAGCGATATTCAGAAAGAATTCCATTTTTTGCCTCCAGTTGACAGCAAACAAGTCATCGAATACCAGCAGTCACGCAG